TAACTACTACTCCGACTTCTATCATGATAGATTCGCGTTGCCAGTTTTGGGATTCAAAATATGTATTCTTTTTTGTCTGACTTCTTTCACTCAGTATTATCTAAGATTTATATATGTTGTCGTGTTTAACAGTAGCTCTTTCCTTCATTGCAATGGAGTATTCCTTTGCATGGACACACTAAAATTTATCTACCCATTCTATAGTTAATGGACATTTTAGTTGTTTCCAGTTTGAGGATATTATGTACTCTTTTATGAACACTCTTGTTCATGTCTTTTAGTGCATATTTCTACTCGCAAAATATATTTGCCTTCTGACCAATCATTTTACCCCAAGGAAATCATCTCAAGGAAAGGTACAAAGATACAAATACATTGTAGCATTATTTATAATAGTGAAATATTAGAAAGCCTAAATATTCATGTATAGGAGATTACATAAATCATGATATATCCATAAATAATAATATTTTATAGTCATTTAAATGGGTAAACTAAAATCTACAGGGAAACTTGCCCATATTGTATTATTAAGTGAAACCAAGCAGGATTATAAAACAATGTGTATAATATGATATTTAGGTAAATATATATATATATTTTTTAATGTTTTACATATATATAGATGCAGGGATTAAGCAGTAAATTATTAAAAGTATTTTTCTCTAGGGGATGGTTAGATGAAGGAGTAACTTTTATTTTTAACTTGTACTAATTAAATTCTATACAATAAACATGTGTTACCTTTGAATAAGAATTTTTAACACATGTATTTTGAAGGAAAAGAAGAGGGCAATTTTTGTATGTTGAAAAAGAAGAGCAGGATTCTGAGATGTTAAAGGGAAACATCTGTAGGTCAGGGAAGAATTTTCAAGAGTCCATGGTATGCAGAGCTTTGTGGGTAGGCGGTGGCATAGACCAGGAGTTCGTGCTAACAAGCTATGTATCCCACTGACAGTCCAGTATTTTGCTGTATCTGCCTACACAAATTTTCTCTTAATTTTTTGTTAAAGATTTTATTTATTTAAGAGCGATCACAGAGGGAGAGGGAGAAGCAGATATGCCACTAAGTGGAGAACCCGATGTGGGGCTCCATCCCAGGACCCTGAGATCATGACCTGAGCTGAAGGCATATGCTTAACTAAGTCACCCAGGTGCCCCTGTTTGTTAAAGTTTTTTAAAATAATTTTTATTTCTTTAAAAAACACATGTCACACCTTAGCAAAAGCAAGTGAATTTCTAGATTCTTAAGTCATTAAGCCCTTTGCTGGTAGAATAAGCTCAAGGAGTAATATCAAAAAGTCTTTTGAAATGTCCCTAAATGAAATTTAAAGAAATATTTATTATAAAATTTAAGACATGCTTGTTATAAAAAAAATCGAACTATACAAAAAGTTTAAAGATCCAACTATATATCACATAAGAAACTTACTTTAGATTTAAGGAACTCACATGGGCCAAAGGTGAAGTGATGGAAGATATTCCATGCAAGTTCCAACCAAAAGAAAACAAGGGTGGTCATATTTATATCAGACAAAATATGCTGTAAGTTATGAAATGTCACATGAGGCTAAGAAGGACATTATAGAATGATAAAGGGATAATTCATCCAGAAGATACATTAATTATAAGTATATATGCCCAAATCAGAGCACCTGAATCTTTGAAGCAAACATTGACAGAACTGCTGGGAGGAAGAGATAGCAATGCCATAATGGTAGGAGATTTCAGTGCCTCACTGTCAATACAGGATAGAACAATCACAGATTTGAACCACACTATAAAACAAATAGACCTAACAGACACATGCAGAACATTCCACCCAAGAACAGCAGACTATATAAACTTCTCAAGTGCACATGGAATATTCTCTAAGACAGGTCACATCTTAGGTCATAAAACAAGTCTCACAAATGTAAGAAGACAGAAATTATACCAGGTATCTTTTCTACACAGTCGAACCCAGAAGTCAATAGCAGAAGGAAACCAGAAAATTCACAAGTATGTGGAAATGAAAGAACACACTTTGGAACAACCACAATCTTCAACAAAACACTGGCAAGCTGAATTCAATAGTCCATTAAAAGAATAATATACCATGACTAAGTGGGATTTATCCCTGGGATGCCATGATGGCTCCATACATAAAAATCAATTAGTGTGATACAGCACATTAACAGAATGAAGGATGAAAACACCTCCATAGATGCAGAAAAAGCATCTGATAAAGTCGAACACTCATTTATGATAAAAAGTTTCGACAAAGTAGAAACAGAAATTGCATCAGTACAATAAAAGTCAGGTATAAAACCACACAGCCAACATCATACTCAGTGGTAAGAATTGTAAGCTTTTCCTCTGAGATCAAGAGCCAGGTAGGGGTGCCCAATCGCACCATTTCTATTCAGCACAGTACTGGAAGAACTCACCAGAGCCATTAGGCAAGAAGAAATAAAAGGAATCCACATCGGAAAGAAAGAAGTAAAAATTGTCTCTGTTTACAGATGACAAGATTGTACATAAAGAAAACCCTAAAGTCTACACACACAGCAAAAGAAACCTGTTTGGCTCATCAATACAGAAAACAAACTGGTGTTTGTGAGAGGGGAGGGAGGGCGGGAGATGGGCAAAATGGCTGAAGCAGGATGGGAGATACAGGCTTCTAGTTATGGAATGAGTAAGTCACGGGGACAAAAGTACAGCATAGGGAATCTAGTCAATAGTATTGTGTTAGTGTTGTACGGTGACGGATGAGAGCTACACTTGTGGCGGGCCTAACATAATATACAGACACACTGAATCACTGTTGTACACCTATAACTGATATAAAATAGTGTGTCAACTATACTTCAATTAAAAAAAGAAAAATAAGAAACCCATTAGAATAAATGAATTTAGTAAAGTTGCAGGGTACAAAATCAACATCCAAAAACCAGTTGCTTTTCTATACATTAACAAGGAACTATCTGAAAGGAAAATCTCATTTGCAAGAACCTCAAAAGGAATAAAATATTTAGTAATAACCTTAACTATGGAGGAGAAATACTTATACACTGAAAACTACAAAACACCGATGAGAGAAATTAAAGACAAATGCAAAAACACTCCATGTGTTCAGTGAATAGAATGGTGGCTAAGGACAGGAGGAGTGGGGAATTGCTCATTAACAGGTATAAAGTTTCAGTTACTCTAGATGATTCAGTTCTAGAGATCGGCCGTACAATATTGTCCTTATATATAGTTAACAATACTGTATTGCACATTTAAAAATTTAAGAGGGTAGATCTCATGTTAAATGCTCTTACACAACAAAAATAAAACATTTAAAAGTACACCCTAAAAAGTCCTCCTCTCCTTCTTGCCCCACAGTCAGTTCACTAGAGAAAAATACTCTTGAGTAGTTTTAATTAATAGGGGGAAACATTTCTGGGCATTGGCTATGTATACTGGAGCTATCCAGTCTCTGGTTTTATCCAGTTTCTCAGTCAACAGAGATCCACCTAGCGTCTTTTACCTTCAAGGCCGTGCTCTAGGAATTCGAGAGCGGTTTCCTGCCACTTACACATCTTTAGCGCTCCCCTCCATGTGCCAGGTGCCATGCCGGGGCAAGCAGATTCAGCTGCCATCGTGGCACTGGCCTTCTAGAGGGCAAGCAGTTGGAAGACCAGAAACACAAACAAAAGCAAATTAGACTGTGGCAACCACAGGGAAGAAAGCAGCAGAGTCCCGTGAAAGGGAATAAGACACTGTCCTAGTCCAGGGGGATGATTAGAAAACATGAGTCAAGGTGAAGGGAATCCCTACAGCGGGAAGAGCAGGTGTGCCACCGCAGGGAGGCAAAGCTCGGCAGTGACTGGAAGGCCTGGGGGGTGGCGTGTGCAGGTGGCAGTGGTAGGAGGTGGTATTGGCAAAGTGGGAAGGGTTGGAGCTTACCTGGCTTTGAGAGACCTGGTTGAGTTTGGACTTTATTCTATGTATATTTAGGAGTCATTGAAGGCTTTAAGTCGAGGACTAATGTGATCCACTTTTTTTTTTAATCTTCTTTTTTTTTTTTTTTAAGATTTATTTATTTATTTAACAGAGAAAGAGCACAAGTAGGCAGAGAGGCAGGCACAGAGAGAGGGGGAAGCAGGCTCCCTGCCCAGCAGAGAGCCCTATGCGGGGCTCAATCCCAGGACCCTGAGATCATGACCTGAGCCGAAGGGAGAGGCTTAACCCACTGAGCCACCCAGGCGCCCCGATCTACTTTGTTTTTAAGTGGCCACTGGAATGGGTAGGTTAGTGGAGGAGGGGGACAAAAGTTCAACTGAAGGGTGAGAAAAAGGAGTGGAAAGGGAAGACATGGAATTCAGTATTGTAGAAAACACTTCCTAGCACCTATCCTGTGAATTTTAATTGAGTATTTTCCTTTCTACTCATTTGTACTCTTTTCCGTAGTTCTCACGTATGATCATGATTTTTAAAAACCTTTCAGTTATGCTTAGTCCATGATAGACTTTAATAAATATACGTTAAATAAAGGTTGACTATTTAAAGAAAGAAGTACATGGACATTTTAGAAATAGGCCAAAAAAGCAGAAATAAAAAGGAAAAAACACCTTACAATTGCCATTCAGAGACAACTCTTAGTATCTTTGTATAGACGTTCCCAGTTTTTATTTATTGAAAGTCCCTATATAATACAGTTTTTAAAAGATGGGATTTTTTTTAACCTTTCTTTTATTCTCCCCTCATTTTTCTTTCTTCCTGACTCTTCCATTAAAATTATAGAGACAGTTAGTTACCAGGTGGCTCAGAAATGCATGTCAGCAGTAAAGCGACAACAACAAAGTAACACCTCTTCTAGGAATGAAACAACTTTTGGATCTGGAATATTACTTGATTCATTAATGTACTCAACAGAGGTTTCCAGGCACCTTCGCCAGGGGTTCACCCTTCTGGAGAGTGAATCAGTGTCCCTCTGTGTTGGACACAGTGCAAAACTGCATTTTTTCTTGCAGGCGTTTTCGGCTTATTACTATGTCATGGAATTTTTAAACTTTACATCAGAGGAAACCCCCTCACAGGAAAAGATGACGGACACTATGGAAAAGTTCTGTTCTCAGCCTTGGGAGGAGGTAAGTGATGAGAAACGGCAACTGTTTGGTATTTCTCTGTGCCTTTGATGGCACAGAGGATGGGAGTCTGCTCATCAAGTCCTGCTACCCTAACGGAGACCCAGCAAAGACGTTAGAGGATCCCAGAGGGCACACTCATCCCGGAGTGCATGCATGGGCATTTCTTGATAACTGGGCATATACCGGCTGAAGCCAGCACGGCCTTACTTTTTTTTTTTTTTTAAGATTTTATTTATTTATTTGAGAGAGAGACAGTGAAAGAGAGCGTGAGCGAGGAGAAGGTCAGAGAAAGAAGCAGACTCCCCGTGGAGCTGGGAGCCCGATGCGGGACTTAATCCCGGGACTCCGGGATCATGACCTGAGCCGAAGGCAGTCATCTAACCAACTGAGCCACCCAGGCATCCCACGGCCTTACTTTTCTCACCTGATACCGAGCAAGCCTTGCAGTCCGAGGCTGCTGGTGTGAGGTCAGCAGCTTGACTCGGTCTCAGCCGTTCCTTCTTCAGTTCTGTCATTAGGCCTCCTTTCTTCACAGACACAAGATGTGGCTTCAGAGATCACTCATGTTTAAGGTCAGAAGAAGGGTAGAGCCAGATACATCTGTTGCATTTTACAAGAAAGCATCAGTTACCCCAGAAACTCCTTAGCAGTCTTTGCCTGACATCTCATTAGCTGGGACTGGCTGCGAAAGCAGGGTGCGGGATTTTAGGACTGGCTTAGACCCTTAGACCCAGCGTGAGCTACGCTCTGGTGCTGGGTACACTGTCACACATTCCTCTCCCCACACCCCAAGTCAGAGTTTTATTAGCAAGGAAGACCAGCAGTTCACAGAATCTGCTATAAACACCATTGTGGCAAGACCCTTTCTCGTGCCTAGGTCCCAGGTAACTCCTACTTAATCTTAAATTTGAAGCACAGATGTTTCTTGTCTGAGGCACTGAGTCATTGAAGATCTAGTACTACCTGGTAAAAGTTTCCAGGGAGGAGAGAGGTATGGGGTCTACTCTAATCAAAACAGATCAGCTAAGGGTGGTGCCCAGCAGCAGCTGTTTTAAGTTGACAGGGTTGCACACTTGAGTGGTACTTTCATTCTGAGTAGGTGTAATTAACTAGAAATGGATGCTTGCCTCGGCGCTGACAGAGGAAGGAAGGTTGTGCAAGAGCCGGAGGTATGGACTTATTCCTCCATATTTTGTCTGAGTTAGAACAAGAAGGAAGAGGACTCTGGGCTTTTCGAAAGAGCCCCTTTAAATGCCTCATTTGCAGCTGGTAGTGATCTGTGGAGGAAGGTGAGCATCTTGGAGTTGAGGCAACTTGAAACAACCCCAATGCATGCCTGTGACAGAGGTAGATTTAGGCTGATTTTTGGAAAAAAAAAATTTTTTTTTAAAGTAGGCTTTGTGCCCAGCATGGAGCCCAGTGCAGGGCCCAAACCCATGACCCTGAGATCAAGACCTGACGTGAAATTAAGAGTTGGACATTTCACTGACTGAGCCACCCAGATGTCCCTGGGGGGAGAAAAATTACTTCTTGTTCAGTGTGAAAGCTCTATCACATCTTTTCTCCTTACCCTCATTTGTTTTTTTTTTTTGTGTGTGTGTGTGTTTTTCGTTTGCTTGTTTGTTTTTAATTTCATCAGGTTATATTAGGTTGGCAATGCCTATATGCAGACTTGTAGGTCTACTCCGATAAGCCACGAGTTGCTGCTCAGAGGTCCTGGAAGTAGACTCATTAAGGCCTGCACCTGAAAGAAATTCTGTAATCTTTGGCAGGGGATGGGAGGAGTTGTAGAGTGAGACATAGAACCTCACCCAGAGCCTTGATGTTGAGGTGGGAGTTATGACCTAGGGTTCATTTTCCCCAACTGCCTTGTCTGTCCATATGGAATGAATAGGTTTCAAGTACACTCTTTAGGGCAACTCTTTTCCTGCTACTCCTGTTGACTGGAGTTTGGGAATGTCCCTTCTAGACACCTTTGGCCAAGAGAGAACTGACAATTGTTAGACATATCTTATTGCTGAAAATTGAGCTAGATACTTTATACATATTGTATCATGCTGCCTGTCCCTGCTTTGGCAGGAGAAATAAAATGCAAACTACACCTGTTGATGTCCTCCAAATCCTTGGGGATGCCCCCAATCCTTGGGTCTCTGAGGAGAGGTTAGGAGAGTGAAAGGGACATATCATGCTTGTCTTCTGATTGGTTAATTAGAAGGTCAGGGAGGAGTCAAGATGGCGGAGAAGTAGCAGGCTGAGACTACTTCAGGTAGCAGGAGATCAGCTAGATAGCTTATCTAAAGATTGCAAACACCTACAAATCCAACGGGAGATCGAAGAGAAGAAGAACAGCAATTCTAGAAACAGAAAATCAACCACTTTCTGAAAGGTAGGACTGGTGGAGAAGTGAATACAAAGCGACGGGAAGATAGACTGCGGGGGGAGGGGCCGGCTCCCAGCAAGCAGCGGAGCAACGGAGCACAAAATCAGGACTTTTAAAAGTCTGTTCCGCTGAGGGACATCGCTCCAGAGGCTTAACCGGGGTGAAGCCCACACAGGGTCAGCATGGCCTCAGGTTCCGCAGGGTCACAGAAAGATTGGGGGTGTCTGAGTGTCGCAGAGCTTACAGGTATTAGAACGGGGAAGCCAGCTACAGGGACAGAGCTGAGGAGTGAGCTCTCAGCTCGGGGTTACCTTGAACCGGTCGCAGGCTCGGTGAGCTCGGAGCGCGGCAGGAGGCCAGGGTGACAGGAGTAATTGGGCGCTGTTCTCTGAGGGCGCACTGAGGAGTGGGGCCCCGGGATCTCGGCTCCTCCGGGCCAGAGACTGGGAGGCCGCCATCTTCATTCCCGTCCTCCGGAACTCTACGGAAAGCGCTCAGGGAACAAAAGCTCCCGAAAGCAAACCCGAGCAGATTACTCAGCCTGGACCCGGGTAAGGGCGGTGCAATTCCGCCTGGGGCAAAGACACTTGAGAATCACTACGACAGGCCCCTCCCCCAGAAGATCAACAAGAAACCCAGCCAGGACCAAGTTCACCTACCAAGGACTGCAGTTTCAATACCAAGGAGAGCAGCGGAATTCCAGAGGAGGAGAAAGCAAAGCACGGAACTCATGGCTTTCTCCCCATGATTCTTTAGCCTTGCTAAAGAATTTTAGCAAGGCTAAATTAATTTTTTTTCCTTTTTCAATTTTTTTTCTCTTCTTCTGCCAAATTTTTTTAACTTTTACCCTTTTCTTTTTTTAACGTTTTTTAACTAGCTTATCTAATATATATATATATTTTCTTTTTTATATTTTTTCTTTATTTGTTTTCTTTCTTTTTTTTTTTTTTAAAGATTTTATTTATTTATTTGACAGAGAGAGATCACAAGCAGGCAGAGAGGCAGGCAGAGAGAGAGGAGGAAGCAGGCTTCCCGCTGAGCAGAGAGCCCGATGCGGGGCTCGATCCCAGGACCCTGAGACCATGACCTGAGCCTAGGCAGCGGCTTAACCCACTGAGCCACCCAGGCGCCCCTCTTTATTTGTTTTCTTTTTTTAATATTTTTTTTCTTTCTGAGCCTCTTTTTATCCCCTTTCTCCCCACTCACGATGTGGGATCTCTTCTGATTTGGTTAAAGCATATTTTCCTGGGGTTGTTGCCACCCTTTTAGTATTTTACTTGCTCCTTCATATACTCTTATCTGGACAAAATGACAAGGCGGAAAAATTCACCACAAAAAAAAAAAAGAACAAGAGGCAGTACCAAAGGCTAGGGACCTAATCAATACAGACATTGGTAATGTGTCAGATCTAGAGTTCAGAATGACGATTCTCAAGGTTCTAGCCGGGATCGAAAAAGGCATGGAAGATATTGGAGAAACCCTCTCGGGAGATATAAAAGCCCTTTCTGGAGAAATAAAAGAACTAAAATCTAACCAAGTTGAAATCAAAAAAGCTATTAATGAGGTGCAATAAAAAAATGGAGGCTCTCACTGCTAGGATAAATGAGGCAGAAGAAAGAATTGGCGATATAGAAGACCAAATGACAGAGAATAAAGAAGCTGAGCAAAAGAGGGACAAACAGCTACTGGACCATGAGGGGAGAATTCGCGAGATAAGTGACACCATAAGATGAAACAACATTAGAATAATTGGGATTCCAGAAGAAGAAGAAAGAGAGAGGGGAGCAGAAGGTATATTGGAGAGAATTATTGGAGAGAATTTCCCCAATATGGCAAAGGGAACAAGCATCAAAATCCAGGAGGTTCAGAGAACCCCCCTCAAAATCAATAAGAATAGGTCCACACCCCGTCACCTAATAGTAAAATTTACAAGTCTTAGTGACAAAGAGAAAATCCTGAAAGCAGCCCGGGAAAAGAAGTCTGTAACATACAATGGTAAAAATATTAGATTGGCAGCAGACTTATCCACAGAGACCTGGCAGGCCAGAAAGAACTGGCATGATATATTCAGAGTACTAAATGAGAAAAACATGCAGCCAAGAATACTATATCCAGCTAGGCTATCATTAAAAATGGAGAGATTAAAAGCTTCCAGGACAAACAAAAACTGAAAGAATTTGCAAACACCAAACCAGCTCTACAGGAAATATTGAAAGGGGTCCTCTAAGCAAAGAGAGACCCTAAAAGTAGTAGATCAGAAAGGAACAGAGACAATATACAATAACAGTCACCTTACAGGCAATACAATGGCACTAAATTCATATCTCTCAATAGTTACCCTGAATGTAAATGGGCTAAATGCCCCAATCAAAAGACACAGGGTATCAGAATGGATTAAAAAAACAAAACCCATCTATATGTTGCCTACAAGAAACTCATCTTAAACCCGAAGACACCTCCAGATTTAAAGTGAGGGTGTAGAAAAGAATTTACCATGCTAATGGACATCAGAAGAAAGCAGGAGTGGCAATCCTTATATCAGATCAACTAGATTTTAAGCCAAATACTATAATAAGAGATAAGGAAGGACACTATATCATACTCAAAGGCTCTGTCCAAC